TGATTACTATTCTGAGTGGAACATAGGGCTTCAACAACACATCCTTACCTTCTCTTCTCTGTTGTCCTCTTCAGCTTGGTCTCCGATTGACCAGAATCCTTTCATCACATCCTACTCCTCCTCACCACACCATCTCCTCCATGTCACCATCGCACCGATGACCCATTCGTCACTTCCTATCCGGATTCCACTCGAATGGTGGATGGCCTGCATTGATCAGGATGTCATTCAGCGGTCTCCCCAACGTTTACTCAATCCATCTCCATTTTCGTTTACATATTTATTGATCAATTGGCTCTCGTCTGTTGGTTTCTTCCCAGCTAGAGTTTCTTCTAGCTAATTCTTTCTGGCCCACCGGTCGTCTGGTCATTTGATCTTCAGTATGGAGCCAGTGAAGAAGGCGACTTTTGGCAAAAATGTGACTGGCTAGAAATCCTTTCTGTGACGCCAGACTCATATAGAAGAACTGACTGACTGACTTTACCTTTGTGTTGAAAATCCGAATATTGTCGTTTATATTGACTGAGTGCAGCGGAGAAGATTTCTAAAGCGGTTTCAGGTTGATGAAGGCGTAATATTATTATTATTAATGGTAATAGTGTAACAACAGAAAACAATGGCCAGGTAACAGATCGTTTATTAAGGAAATCAACACATATTTCATAGATTTTCATGTAGATTATTATAGATTATTGTAAGCAGACAAACACAGTCTTATGATTGGTGGTTTCTCGCTGAACGTTAATCTTTCATCGCTTTGCGGCTGTTTCTTGAATATTAGAACATCTATCTGCTAAATAATATCTGCTTACACAAAGTCTTTTGTGATTGGTTGTTGAATCAGTCTTTGATCTTGTTTTAACATGACCAATATTTGGGATATAAACATTGACGTAAATTACTGTCTACCAATCTGGCTAGCACCCAGCTCTCACCACAATAGTAGTAACGATAATAATCAATAATAACGGTGTTGAAAAGAGTTCAGATGATGATAATGATAAAAGACAGTTTGAAGTGAATCAAAAGTCATCTATTATCGAAGAACTTTGAAGATCTTTTTACACAAGCTCCAAAAGGACAAAATACTGGCATTTTTACATTCTGATGAAGGACAATGTGTGGTACTGATGAATGAGATAGATCATATCGAAGAAATACATCAAATTTCTCTCTGGTGAATATAAACTCAAAGTGGATAATCATACCATAGACCAAACATTTTCGACTGAAAAGAAAATCGCGCCAAAATCTTTTCAATACACGTATGTATATTCAGCCGATTGGGTCACACATCGCAAAATTATGTAGGCGTGTTAAATACACAAACTAGGAACGCCTCGAAGACCTGTAATTTCTGTGACGAATTTATCATACCACGAAATAAGCACAGTGGCTATGTGAATTATTGTAGCCCTTGAGAAAACGCTTTGTAACGTATATTGTCTCTGATTCATTTCAGTTTGTCAAGCAAATTAATGATCTCAGTGTAAGTGGTAAGCATCTTTGGATGCTTTTGGATGTTGCTCCCTTATTCATGAATGTTCCAGCCATTGAGACTATTGACTTTATATGTGGAGAAGCTAAAGATATGCTTACTACAACAACAGAACTGAAGAAATTGTTAAATTTATTAAGTAAAAAATATCCAATTTCACTGAGGTAAAAACTTTATCCCAATATGATTTTTAAGTATTGTTTGACAGTGCACTCAGCATAAACTATGCAACTTGGATTTTCAAGTCATTTCTTCTATATGGGTCTGAAATTTGGAGCATTACATATGGCGTTTCAAATAAGTTAAATCGACCGCCGCGTACAACGCGTCAAATAATACCCACAGCGGAAACAGAATTACCAGTGGGCATCAACTTCCGACGAAAACAGGAATCCTGAAAGTCAGAAAAATCCAAAAACTGGAAAAGCAACAGGATAAGATGGAATTTCAGCAGAAGCATTGAAAGTGGACCCAGAGATATCAGCGGACTTGATGACACTACTACCAAAGAAGGAACGGAAAGAGGTCAAGGCACCTGCGGATTGGAATAAAGGCTACCTATTCAAACTATCAAAGAAAAGAAACTTAAGTCAATGCAAGAACTAGCGCAGCATTATGATCCTGTCCATCTTAGGCAAAATATTAAGGCGCATCATTCACGCCCTGGATGAAAATCTTCGACCGGAACAGGCTGGAGTCAGGAGAAATAAGTCAGGCATTGATCAAATTGCAACACTACGGATCATCATTGGACAGAGCTTGAAATGGCAGTCACCTCTCTATCTTACCCAACTTCATTGACTTTGAAAAGGCCTTTGATAGATGGCGTCGATCTAGCGGTGATTTGACAACTGCTTAGCTACTATAAGGTGCCGCCAACAATTTTACATCTCATCCAGCAGTTGTATGGCAATGCTGCATGCCAAGTAATGCACAACCGGAAACTCACGGAATTCTTAGTAGTGAAGATGAGAGTAAGACCAGGCAGCCTACTATCTCCAACTAGGTAACAGGCATAAAAAGGACTCACAAAAAATGGAGGATCTGGACTTCACCGATGATATTTGTCTGATTTCCCACAAACACTGGCAGATATGCAGGCGAAAAGCAACAAGTTGGCAGAACAAGTATCCAGAGAAGATAGGACTTCAGGTGAACATAGAGAAGGTAGAGACAGAGGTGATGAAGATTCCTGGCCAACAACAGCAGCAACAACAGCAGACAACAATCAGCATAAATGGGAAAAATTTGAAAGAAGTAACCTCCTTCGCCTACCTACTTAGGAAGCATCGTTTTAACTACAGCCGGACGGAACTGATGAGAATGTCAAGCAGTGAGGATCGGGAAAGTAATGCAAGCTTTCATTTCTCTCAAGTCTGTGTGGAGATCAACAGTATTCACCAGGAAAGATAAGATCCGAATTTTCAACTCCGATGTGAAGCCAGTGCTACGGATCAGACACTTGGCGCGTTATGAAGAGCACCTCAAGCAAACTAGAGACCTTCATGAACAACTGTCTTCGCTCAATACTTTTCAAGATCAGATGGCCAGACCAAAAAGATAAGCAACAGGGATCTCTGGCAATGAGCGGACCAACCCAGCAGGAACCAATTGAGCAAGAAATATTCACAAAGAAATGGAGGTGGATTGGTCATACTCGAGAAAACCATCAAGAGACGTCACACGCCAAGCCATCGCTCGAGTGTAACCTGAATGATAAGTGGCGAGCCGGTCGTCAGTGGGAGAGTGACATGGAGGAGGTGGTGTGAAGAGGAGATGAAAGCATGTGGGCAGACTTGGAGACAGGTGAAAACGTTGGCAGAGAACCAAATGCAATGGAGACGTGCGGCTGAAGCCCTAGATTCCTCTAGGAATTAAAGGAAACAATAATAACTATAACAAGCTACTACACAATTTCATCAACAGCTGACTTCTCTAGCTTCAAACTGAAGATCAAATTGCAGTCAGAAAGAACTAACAACTAGAAACTGTGGAAACCAGCAGATCAAAGACATATCGCTCAACAAATATTACGAAGAAAATGGACATGGATATGACACACTCTGAGGAGGTGGCTAGACGTCACTGCTCCCTGTCAGACCCTTGAATGGAACCCGAATGGCAAACAGCGATCATGTAAGGATGAGACGACAGCTTATGGGCAATTATAGTGCCATCTGAAGATGACTGAAGACAACAGAATAAAGTGGAAATGTACTGTTAAAGACCACCGTTCCATCCTGAACTCAAGGAAATAATAATAACAATATGATAACATTGTTTTCTGGAGATCTCTTTCGACTTTGTGGCTAGCTCTGAATAAAATTGAGCAACCAGTGTTACAATCATCGTACTAACTGAATATCAACTTGAAATATTTGAGAACGGTATACTGTGACCAAATGCATCTTCAATTCAGCGGCAGAATGCTTACCAGTGACAGAGGAGGTCTGTGTTAGATACCTGACAAACACACTATTGATTCTTGCTAAGTTTCCTATCCTATGGTAAAGGGATAAAGTTGACTATGAAGCTAGTAATCCAACCCTGAAATTTCAAAGTTACAAACTCCTGTGTTCTTTTTAGAACGGCTGGAATGAATGACGCCTGTTGCTGACAACAATTTGTAAGAATCATGCGCAGCAATGGAGCAATTGATCAAGTTTTATTTTTTTTATTTATTTTTAATTACAGCTTGATTCTACACTGTATTTTTTGTTATAAGTATAGAATTTTCAGCATATGATATCGGTAGCCCAAATTTTACGGGCCGACCATAGATAACAGGTGTGCGTCGGCAGGGGATCGAACCTCGGACCACCTGCATGGTCGGCGAGAGTCCTTACCACTGTGCCACAGACTCACAAAAGGAAGAAAAAATAAAAATTACTATGAGGGAATATTGAAAGTATAAAATGAATTTGAAAGGAACAGATGAACTTTCACAGTTTTCATTCAAAGGTTGTAGTGATATATGATGAGAGCTGTCTGCTAGCCAAGATTAATAGACAGCAATTTACGTCAATGTTTACGTCCCAAATATTGGTCATGAGAAAAAAACACACAAGAACAAAGACTAACTGAACAACCAATCACAACAGACTTTGCGTGGGCGGATACGATTCATAGATATATGGTCTGACCTTCAAAGAAATGACCACAAATAGATGGCAGAATAACCTTCAGCCAGAAAACAACCAATTAGAAGACGATGTTTCTCTGCTTACAATAATGCTAATAATAATGTTCATAAAAATCTATAAATATCTGTTGATTTTCGCAATAAATAATCTGTTTCCTGGCCCTTGTCTTCTGTCGTTACAGATATACTTTTCATAACAAATACTTAAGGTTTGAGGCTTTCTTGTTCATGGGAGATGATTGTTTATTTAACCATAGGCGTCATATTGCTGTGCTTAGTTTTATAATATAACCTCTGTCTATGCTTTTGTATTAACGTATGCACATTTTTCCTTGTAAATGTTTTTCCCTGCTTCTGTAGAATCTCCAAAAGATGATAGTCAAATCAATATGCTAGAGTATTTCAAAGCTGCTTTACACACATTTGCATTGAATAACACTGAAAGTACAGGTAGTTTACGATGTATTCTTTGGTTAACTATAAAATTAAAAAATGACGAGGACTACATTCCGAATGACGATGGCCAAATCATCTCACCATTAGAAGATGATGAATTCTGTGAAGCTATTATACGACAAGAAAATAAGAAATTGATACGATTCACACTACCAAAACCTGAAAATTCTGATAGGTAAGTCTAAATTATTTTATTTGGAATTTTTTGAGCTATTTTTGCGGATGTTGTTGTTATTGATTTGTGTTCAGAGTGGATCATACACCTTCAAGCTTTAGGCTTTGAACATCAAAGAGGTTATGTACTCAATCGACATAGAATGCTTATTCACCGATATTCCTTTTCATGAAACTGTTGATTTCATTTGCGATTACATTACAAGCCATGGGATAAATTTACCTATTCCTGTCACAGAAACAAATGCAAGGTATGCTGGGGGAGAATTTATGCTATACAAACGTCGTTGTGTGTATGATACGCTCATTATTAGCACTAATAGTAAATCTATTGAAAACTTTATTACTCTATTTAATCATATTCATCCAAATATCCAAGTGACTTCCAAACTCAAATCGAATAACAAACTCGGTTTCCTGAATATTACAATGACCAGGAGAGATGATGGAATGATTCAGTGATCTATTTTTCGTAAACAGACACGGAGTGAACAATATCTTCATTTCATAAGTTTTGTTCCTATCCAGTATACACGTTCCCTAGTGAAATGTTTGTTCTCAAGGGCCCGAAAAATATACACCAGTGACATATTGATGGATGAGCTTCGGCACATACATTCAGTTTCATTAGCTAATGGTTATCCAGAAACCTTAATCAACTCTCACAGTAAGGATAGACCACATCTAGAAAAAACAACTTCTGTACCAAAGAAAGCTATTTTTATTAACCTATCATTCAAGGCTGATCAAATCATGCAGTTGACAGCTGGCTCAAAGACTTTGGTCAGTCATCCAGCTCACATTCTATGCCGCATCTCTTTCTCTCACATGTCGAACATTTTCGTTCCCTGTACCTATGATTAAAGGACGGAATTCTGTGGACTCCACTTCACACTGTGTCAACAAGTTCACCTACAGATTCGGTGACACTTATATAGGTAGAACCAACAGAATGTTCCAAAGTCGTCGAAAAGAGCATGTTCCAAAATGGTTATTAAAACACATAGAAAATCCCAATGAGATTAATCTGAATAGAAATCCATCACCATCATCATCCATTGCAAAGCATTTAATGTCAGATCACCAAATCAATATTAATGACTGTTTCACAATTACTTTTTTACACAGCTCTAATTAAAGGTCGGTTAATAAAGGTGATGTAAGCACTTTGGATTAATCACATAGAGTCCAAACTGTGTGTACAAAAAACAACAGACTTCAGCCTTTGCCTCCTATGGACTACTTGACCTACTTAAGTATGACTGGTCATTAGTATGTACTTTTGTTTTATTTAACTGAGAAATTGTCATGCATTTCATTTTATTTTATTCTGGTGAACCATGTTAGTTGTAAAGCGGTTGTAAAGAAACTACGAAATGACGATATCATCTCGCGAAATTTGTTTTCTAAATGCCTTATTCAAACTGAAGTTTCAGTGTTTCTAAGGACTAGATTTGTTCATAAGAGTTTCATCTAATCCTTACAAACCAAACTCTTGCAAAATTAATCTGACGCTCACTAGTGACTTGCTACAAGACAGGATTTCCTGGAGTTCTAGTGAGAAGTCATGACCAGTGAGGTCCATACAGTCAAGTGGTAGGATGGATCTCCCACCGATGGTTAGTGGTCGCGCTAAATCATGTACTGGTAGATGTTAGAATTCATGGACTGGTCATTGAGGAGTCGGGTCCCAGCGGCTGAATAATATATACGAGCTTGCTAGCCTTGTAACCGGAAGGTCCTGGGTTCGAACTCTGGCAGTGGGGTGGTTAAGTACTACCGATGATTCCTAAAACTAGGTTGAAAAATCTGTCCAGTACTCCCTATTTGGTTTTCAATGGTTCTCTAACTGATATTAATCCATGGTCAAACTCTTAAAGACATTATTAAACATTAATGTTGTTAACAACTCTAATTCTTTCAATATTATGGCTGGATATATAACTGTAGAGCCTGATGATGAGGGGGAAGTTATCAAAAAGAGTATTCTTTGTTCAGTAACCATTCTTCTCAAAACAATTTAGACGGGCATTTTTAATTATTCAAAATACCTAATACATAAGAAAATGTCGGGTTACTGGAAGTGAAAATAGGAAAGACAGGGTGATGAAGATCGCAAACCAACAACAACAACAAGTACGAGTCACTGTCATTGGGAGAAATCTGAAAGAGGTCACCTTCTTCCCATATCTAGGAACCATTTTTTGAACTACAACAGGCACCTATGACGATTTCAAAACCAAGCACGATCGAAGATGCAAGGTAAACCTTCATCAATCCAAAGTCATTGTCGGAATCTACTGTACTTATCACAAGAAACAAGAACTGGATTTTTAGCTCCAATATCAATTCAACATTCAATTATTCTGTATGCCTCACAGACTCGACACACGCATTGTGAGAAGCATTGTCAATAGGTTTGCTTCAGATTTTCGCCAACAGCTGCCTTTGCCTAACAATACTGAAAATCTGATGGTTCACCTGAAAGGATAAGCGATATGATAATTTGGCGGGCAACCAACCAACCAACCAAAAACATATCCCCGATAGAAACGGAGATGGACTGTACGCGGAGAAGACTGCTGAGTGAAATACTCGCATGGACTTTAACCCGAACCCAAATCGGCAACGGCGAGTTGAGGTTGTTCCTGAGGATGATATGAAGAAGAATGTTTGTCGAGGAGGAAATGAAAGCTCATGCGAAATAAATCTGAGCCAGCTGAAAAAAATTTCAGACGACAGCATGAAATGAAGATTTGCTGCTGAATTCCTTTATTTCATAATTATGGTCCTTCCTCGTTTGTATACATTTTGAGATGACTGATAAGCTAACTGATAGCTAACATACCTGTAAGCGCAATATATCGCTTGAAATTAAGTCACGCGTAGATAAAGGCTATCCCGGTCCAGAACCAGCAAGAAGCCGGTCACTGTTTCTACGGTACTATTAATAAACAAATCAATAATCATACATACAACAAACCTCAACGGTTTCAAGAGTACAAAGCACAACGCTTAACAGAAAGCAAGGTACCGCTATCAGAGAGGAATAACGTTAAAGCCGAAATTGCGAACTAACCAGAATCAGACACGACCGTTCAGGTAAGCAGTCAGTAGAAGTATGAACCCAAGTAAGGCAAAGCATAGAACAGAGAGAGGTTAAGAGAAAGACAGAGCATAGGCACAAAGATGGAATTTAATTGGCTACTTAACCAGGTAGGAAAATACAGATGAAAATCAATAAGCAAGATAAACTCGACAGAATAGTACAAAGTTAGACATGGGTCAGCAAAAATAACAGCTCACAAAATACTCTGATTGGGCCATGAGTTCAACAGTCTTACTAAACGGATCGAGGTAAAAACACATACACACAGTTCATTAAACAAGCAGGGATAGACACGTTAGGCATGGATAATTGGGTGCAACAACGCTAGGCTGATCCGGGACAGGTTGACTTGATTCAAGGATGGGAATAGAATTGATCTTACAATACCAGTGTACTCAAATGACTGATCTCAGTGGTTCAATTGCCAACTTTCACTATACTTTCGTATAATTTCATCAGCCATCACTTTGCGATGTATAGTACATTGGCAAGAGTTGCAGAATTCACAGGCCGTTGAATCCTATCAATGTGTGTCTGAATAATGTTCAACGATGTCGCCTTGTAACCACACGTTCTCAAGTTCGATTCCCTATGGTTCTCTTTATAAATCATTTGAATCCATAATTTAACTCGACATCAATCAAACGCTTCCAGATTAATATTTGAAATAACCTATTCCCTTGTAACATTTCAGGTTGAAATTACGTTGGCCATTGAATGATCTTGAGGTGACAGATACAATCAAATATGTTGACTTACGTAATCTGCCACACATTCTATCAACGCCATTTTCTGCAATTAAAAAACTTGAGGTAAGTCTGAGTGTATTAATATGTCTTCATAATAATAAGAAGAAGAATAATGTTTCAATGTTGATTAGTGATCAGGAGGTGGAACAATTTAATTTATTGGCATGTTAGCATACATCTGTCAGTAATTACAGTATCAGAAATTAAAGAGTCATGTACAACTTTCATTCAGTGCTTTTACAGAATTTGAGAGTGCATTTTCTCATGTCACTAAATTACTGAGCAGTGTGCAGTCAAGAATATGTTAAATAGTTGAAAGTAATTGGTAACAAGAAGAAATAATAGACAAGACAAGGAATGCCTCTCAACAGATACCTGAAAGTTAGTCGAGGAGAGAAGAATGGTTTGAGAGAAGATGACTCAATGCAAAGATGGCCAATAGAAGAAGAAGCTAAGTTCAATTTACACTGAGCTGAATAAAGAAGTAAAGAAGAGTGCTAGGAAAGATATAAGACAATTCTACGACACACTGGTAACTGGAGCAGAACAAGTCTCTGGAAAAAGAGATCTTAGGACATTATATCAAATAATCAGCTCTGTATCTGAAAAGAGATCAACCCAGATGATTAAACCAAAAAAAGATGGTCAGGGAAACGTGGTGACCAAGGAGGAGAATGAGCTGATCACTTCAAACGACTCTTGAATTAACTATTACCCGGAAATACCACCATCAGCGACAGCACTCAGAGAACTGCCAGCGGACACAAGTCATCCGAAAAAAGCGGAAATCTTGAATGCGATGAAGCTACTAAAGTGCAGTCGGGGAGACAGCAGGGCCAAACGAAATCTCCCCAGAAGCACTGAAAACGCACCGACAGACAGAGGCAGATAAGCTGACGCTATTATTGCAGAGGGTTTGGAAAGAAGGAAAGATGCCTACCAATTGGAAGAAAAGTTAGCTACCTTGTCAAGCTGCAATAGATGAGTAACTGAGGCTTCTGCAAGAACTGGCATGGAATAATGATCTTGTCCACACCAAGTAAAATACTGAGTTGCGTCATCCTGGACAGACTGAAAGATGCACTGAATGCAGAACTCTGTCAACGACAACGGAACAAGCTGAATTCAGGAAAGACAAATCATATGCTGACCAAATTGCAACTGTACGCGTCATCATTACAGAACAAAGTATAGGATGGCAGTCAAACCTCTACTTCAACTTCCTTCATGGACTTCGTAAAGGCCTCAGACAGAAATCATTGGCCATGGAGTAACTTGGAAATTGATTCAGCACCATGGCGTACCTGAATTCTTTGTCAACTCATTCAGCAGTTGGCTATATGACAGTGCCATATGTCAAGTAATCCACAACGGAAAACTCAGCGAGGCGTTAGAAGAGCATACAAGAATGAGACAAGGCTGGCTGCCCATTATCACGTATGATATTATTAATTGTGGTGGACTGACTGGATTGTGTGTCAGACTGTTGGAAGTGAGAAGACAGGAATACGCTGGACTAGTGTGAAGACTCTAGAAGATCTGGATTTCGTGCCTGGATGATTCATGTTTAATGTCACACAGACTTGAAGACTTGCAGACGAAAATCAAACAAACTGGCAGAAGAATCAGGCAGCGAAGACAGGACTCCAGGTGAATATAGGAAAGACGGAGTTGTTCGTCTGTGAGATGGTGACACGAAGGAGATAAGAGATTCTGGTCAGTCGTGGCCCCAGCCAGCTGAAGGGGACAGCGGCAAAAATAGAAGAAAGTGGAGATGTGTTGTTGAAGCCCTATGTTCCACTTGGAACCCAAAAGAATAATAATAAATGGTAACAAACGCTGGATTTAAGTTACATGTTTATTAGCACTTTTCAGAAGCGTGTATCTTCAACCGTCAGAATTTCGAACCCTAGGAGAATTCACTCTGCACCAACACCATAGACTAGTCTCATAGTATGAGTTACTCCTTAGTTCAGGGCTTCCTGATGATTAGCTGAACTTTGGTTCTAAGTACATTGGTGCATTATGGAATTTGTAGACCGTTTCTGATAGGTTGTGTTGGTGTTAGTAACATTTTTTAATTTTTCTGTTGATGATCTACAGAGTTGGATTGATTAATCTCTTCTGATTTGCACACTGCTTGTATTAAATTTCTTCATTACAAGATACGAATTGTGAACAGTCACGGTCTCATATTTGGGACTCCATAAGTGAGTTATAAAATAAACGCATAACCGTTACACTGCACATGACAAATATAGCATTAATTTCACTGAATAAGACAGTAGACATCTCCTACTGAAGTAAATCGTAAAGTCTTATTCTCTACAAGAAATCCCTTCAGGCGTTGCTTCACTGAGATTTGGTTGCTCAAAAAGTTAGATTACAGAGAGGAATCACTTAGACAACCATTGAAAACCAATGAGGACTGCATAGGTGTTTCGTTCCTTCGCAAGTAATAGCCATCACACCACTCAACAGGGACCCAGCCCTTTTCAGACTACGACGCGCGTCTCTGGACCATTCATTAAACACGACAGGATCCAGTAATCCATGAATTGTAACTTCTGCAACTCAATATGTGTAGCGACACTTTCAGCTAATGTTATCGGTTAGCATTTGTCCTCCCAACCATCCCCCCTCCTACTGGACTTGATGGATACCACTAACAATGACCCTTCAGCAACATTCTAGGCAACTTCGTTACTTTAGTCACAGTCCGTGATGAGTATTTGATTAGTTTTCAAGTGTCATCTCAAATAGGACGAAACAGCTATCCAGTACTGTTTGCTTTTCAATGGTTCCTCTTAGTCTAACTTCAATGACTTTTTGTTACAGGATATCATCACGAGTTGACATTGGCTAGAGAACAATTGGAAACCAGCACTGGAGTACTTACTGGACAGCCAGCTGTTTCGTCCTGGTTTTGAATCTTCGGCGGTACGCCCCCACCAGGGTTCGAACCCAGGACCTTCCGGTTACAAGGATAGAGAGCTCGTAGACCATTAGGCCACTGTGACCCAATCCAATATCCAGCGCATGAATTATAACTTCTGCCCTTGCCAATGTCTTTGGCGAGCATTTGTCCTCACACCCGAACTATTGCACCCTACTGGTCACGACTTCTCACTAGCTCGCCTTGTAACCGGAAGGTCCTGGGTTCGAAACCCAATGGGTGCGTACTGTGAAGAGTCGCAAACTAGGAAAAAACAACTTTCCAGTACTCCTAGCTTGTTTTACAATGGTTCTCTAATCAATGTCAGCTTATGATGAAATCCTGTAACCAATCAATGAAATCCCTACAAACCAACACTTGAATACCAATGATTTTTTTGCATTTTATTATGAATTTCCGCCTTTTTCTCTTAGCTTTGCTTAGAAATACCACAACAAGATATCATGTATAAATTTGTTGAGCATACAAGACTATCAAACAAGCATCTGATTACATTTAAAAGTGAGTCATTATTCTTCTAATATACTCATTCGTTAAACTGTATACTGTTATGGTCTTATTTACAAACCCGTAATGAGAATTTGAAACACCTGAATTAGTTCCAGGGATTTATACGGAAAATTGAAACACCTAACGGATTTTTGCGATCACTCCATCAAAGACATTTCAAATAGCTGAACAAGAAATAATGATATCCTTCGACGTTATATACCTCTATCGGACAAAAACTAGCAAAAGAAACCATGCAGCAGTTTCTTCTCAGCAACGACAAATACTTCCCACAACAATCAATGAATGCAGCACACAAGTTAGATGGAATTCATAAACCTATGCCTAGCAAAGTACTTCCAGTTCAACGGCCAAATATATGAAAAAGTCAAAGGAACACCCTGGAGATTGCCAATATCAGGTTTGATTCAGAAGTATTGGTGATGCAAAGGCTCCAAAACATAATCTCACCAAAGATCAAACATAAAATTTGGATACGCTACGTCGACGACACATTTGTAATAATCAAAAGAAACGAGTCAGATGAAACTCACAACTTAATAAACAGGGTTTCGACGACATCGAATTCATAAGAGAACAAGAATCCGAGGACAAAATCACAGTTTTGAGCGTCTTAGTCAAGCGAACAACCACAAAAGAATAAAAACTCAAGGTTATAGGGAATCAACTCACACAGACCAAATCCTGAATTACAACAGCAACAACCCGATAACACACAAAAGGAATTGCATACAAACACTATTCAAGAGAACAAGAACTCATTGCAGCACTCCCACCTTAAGTAAAATTGAAGAAAAATATATCATGGACGTCTTCCAAAAGAATGGATATCCACGGAATTTCATCAAAAGACATATACCCCCAAGCCAAACTATCAACTAAAAGCCTCCAAGGAAAGCACAAAGGAAATCACCTACCATATATAAAGGATATCTCAGAAATCACTACAAGACTCTTCAAACCTTTAGGAATTGACATCGTACACAAACCAACAAAGTCGCTGCACTCAATTCTATGTCAACCAAAAGACTCAACAGCGAAAGAAGATAAAACCAACATCACCTACAAAACAAAGTGTAACAACTGCGAAAAACACTACATTGGTCAAAGTGGACGTCCCCTTCGTCTTCGTACCCACGAACATAAGCTAACCGTCAAAAGACATGATATCCACTCTCTCATATCACTACACACAGACAACCACGGACATCATTTCGACTGGGAAAACGTTCAAATATTGGACAGTGGAAACAACAAGAATGCTAGAGAATGTTTAGAAATCTGGTTTTCCAGTGAGTCGTCAGTCAATAGACACCTTGAAATAGACGAAATTTACTAATCGACGAGAAGGAAATCTCATACACAAAGGGTGAAACTTCACATCAGAGAAACAGTTAGTACCGAAACAAGTATCCAACCAATCACTTTCAAGGTCACCCACCGGGAGAGATGACCAATAAACCCGTGGAGAAATCTAAAAATTCACTTCAAATTGATGTATGCGCTGAAAAAAGATGTTGCCTAGTAGGGCAATGTAAGCTTCTCAAATAAAACGTCTAGCTCAGGGAACACAACCACATCAAAATCATCCAGCTGCGCTACAAATCTTCTGCGTCACACCTATATTATAAGCCATTAACATCGACGCATCCATTAACCAATCAAATGACTCTCTGATTTTGATTGGATACTAGTTAGTTACTCGTGTAATGTCTCTTTCATTGTTTTGTGCAGACTGAATTCTATTAGTGAAGTTTGCAGTGTGACCGCCATTCTGAGTGGCTCGCCATCACGGTTCACCTTGAATTGCTGATATCCGATGGTAGGAGGCAATAGGCAGAAAGCCTTCCACTTAGGTTTTGTGCTAGTTGGCACTTATCTGTCAGTAAGGGGTATCTGAAACCTTGAAGGAACTCGTATCTCACTGAGTGACGCGGGACCGCCTTGGGGACGGGGGAGTGCCAGCTAACACGAAACCTAGGTTCAGGTTTTCTTGAATATTGCCTCCAACCATCTACTACCACCGTCTTTAGCTGTTTCCAAGACTGTCTATAGGCCCTCAGCTTTTCGTCACACGGTATCCCGAACTTCACCCATGCTCATTTCGTCACCGACTTCCTATTCGGTCTCCACTCCAGAACCTTGCGTGTGGTCTCTCCAGTGTGTGTTTAGTCCATGCCAATTATCTTCTTCATATCTGTTGAGTGATTACTTTTTGGTCAGTTCGTTAACAGAGTTTCTTGTCGAAAGCCCACATGGAATGGACAGTACTTACATTTTAATAGTTTTTGTCCAAATAGCTGTAAACGAGCACTAGTCAAGACGCTGTACTATAGAGCGAGGAGAATATGCTCTGCAGAGAAACTAGAGGAAGAATTTTCGAATCTTGAAAAGGTGCTGAAAAACAACGGCTATCCTCAAAGATTGATTAACAACTATGGAAGATGTGAAGACTCAAATACCAAACAAATCACAGTGGAAAAAATGCCTGTCTTCATTCAGCTGAATTTTAAAGGTGAAAACATTGCAGAAATGGTCAACAGAAGACTAAATACGTCACTAGCCAGAGCCTATCCTGCAGTTAAGTTGGTTCCCGTCCATCGAACAACATGCTCTTTGGTGCAGGCGAAAGTCGATAGATACCCTTCTCATGTTAACTCCAACTGTGTATACAAATTTACGTGTATCTGCGGGAGCAGTTACATTGGGAGAACAGAAAGAAGGGCACACCTCCGATTTTCTGAACATGTGCCGAAAAGCCTACGTCTCAAGGGAACAAACTCTTATAGCAGCGCTATTACCAGACATCTCCTCAACACGGGTCATGAGGTGGAAATCGAGAAATCCTTCAAAATTATCAATAGACAAAGGAGCTCCATTCTCCTCAAGTTTGCCGAAGCAATTTCTATCAAACGCTTGAAACCAGATTTATGTGTTCAGAAAGAAACAGTTATTAGTCTTTCCTTGCCTTGGTAACTGGATGTCTTTTTTTCTTTCATCTGACTACGTAATCTTTGTCTTTAACCTCACCCTCCTTTTATAATTCTGTAATTTTGCTTGTCTCTTGTTTCTATGATTTGAGTTCAACTCAGTACATCGTTACCTAACTTATTAGTCACTATGCATCTAACGCACATCTCATCTTCATTATGCAACTCCCTTACCATTATATGCATACATGTATTTTGTTTTAACTTGAACTGCCTGTGTAAAAACTATATAAGCGCAATTTCCTCAGCACTGTTTACTAATTGTGGAACTTTCTGTCAACTGACAACATGTAAAATTTGCAAGTATGTTAAAATGTTTCTGTACTTAAACCTCAAAATTTATTTAGGCTGTAAGCAGCTGATGAGAAGCCAACGAAATAAGTGATAGCACCATGTTATTCTGCACAAACCGCTGTTGTTCTCGCTTTATTCGAACTGTGATTTCCGCACACAGAGATCGATTCTTTCCGTTGAATAAAATCAATAAGTGTGAGTGTCAAAGATAGTCATTTCATTGAAAAGTAACTCATAAATTTTGCATAAGAGTTGGCTGTCGTAGCCCATTAGTATAATGGGGGCGTTTGAAATGATGGGGGCTGGTTTCTAATCTCAGTAGGGACGCCACCACTCACTAGGGATGCACATACACCCAGCTGACGAGCCCAAACAGAATCAGAATTACGTATCCTGGACTTCATGTCCGTTCACCGTTAAACATATAATACTCAATCATGCCTGAAGATCCCAAATCCCCCGCTGCATCAAGATAGTTTGACAAGATCTTTCATAAAAGTAGCAAATTCAAACATGCGATAAATAACTTTAAAAGGTCTCTGAATGTCAACTTATTGGTCTGCATTGACGAGATGTGCCGTATTACTGTAACGACGGAAGACAAGGGCCAAGAAACAGATCGTTTATTGAGGAAATCAACAGATATTTATAGATTTTTATGCACATTATGATTAGTTATTGTTAACAGAGAGGTAACGTCTTCTGATTGGTTGTTTTCTTGCTGAAATTTATTCTGTACTGTTTGCGGCCTTTTCTGAGAAAGTTAAGCCATATATCTGCCAATCATATTTGCACACACTAAGTGTGCTGTGATTGGTTGTTATTGTTTTTTTTCTCATCACTCCGATTCGGGACGTAACACTGATGTTCACTGCTGTCTACAGTATTTGGCTTGCAGCTAGCTCTCGCTACATTACTAAGCTATGTATCAAATGATTCGATTTTTTGTCTAACCAAATCAGGTATCGTTCAGCGATTCGTCGATGAACTCGCCTAAGTGTATGCTCAATATAATTTGTTCCATAGGGGCGGTCAAACTGGCTAATATACTGGGTGGACAGTTTGCCTCTATTTTGTGAATCTCATATTGGTTGACTGGTGAATAAACGGCATAACTTAGCTGTTTTAAAAGTCTTTCACATACTCTTCTGAGACACTGTGATACACGCTCTCACCTATTAACGCCTTTCATGAACTGTAATTTTAGAAGCACTGATTTTATCCACACTGTAGGCTCCCAGGACATTTTCCTGGCTAAATTCAAAAATTGCATTGGATATCCATTTCTACTCCACAGATTACAAATATTATCGAAATTGAAGTGAAATCAAAATATGTGAACATGTCATATAATTGATATATATATTGGTTATATAAATCAAGCTCTTTTTAGTGTAGGTCATTCACAGTCACACAGTCGCATAGCTATAACGATGATTTTCTTGGGTATTAATTTCTCCAGATCCGATGAAAGTGATCTTGGACGATGATGAGGATAATGAACACAATAACGATCTAATATTTGGACTTTTATATGAGTTAGGTAATGTCATGTTTATGAATATTTTTATTAAATTAATGTGGCTTTCATATGGATGTTTATCTGCTTATTCCAGTGTTTATTTTAAGTGTCATTTTGGCACTGTTTTCACACCCATAGTTGGATTGTGCGCTTACACAATGTTGGTCGCTTGTTCATGGTTTTAGTATCAATCAGGATTCTTGTTTGTAACTTGGTGTAATGGTCCTATAGCCTTTCAGCTGTACTTCCCTGAACTAATGCTAAAGAACTTGTAAAGTTTTCATATCCGTTGTTCTGCTGGCATGCTTCCAAATGTCTACAACTGTGTGTTCGGAGCAGACAGCGTCTTTACATTGACCAAATACGGATTTTTACCGTCGCTAGTGACTTGCTACAGGACGAAGATTGCTGGAGTTCTAGTAAAAAGTCGAGACCAGTGAAGTTCATCCAGTCAACTGTGAGAACGAAGTTCCCATTGATGACATTGGTTGTTGGTTGCGCTAAATCACGAACTGGTAGAAGTTAGAATTCACAGGCTGTCCATTGAATTGGGTCTCAGTGGCTGAATGGTATACGAGATTGTTAGCCTTGTAACCAGAAGGTCCTGACTTAGAACCCTGACAGTGGAGTTGGTGTGTACCGCCAATGATTCCCAAACTAGGCCTAAGAAATAGCTGGCTGTCTAGTACACCGGTGCTGGTCTTCAGTGGTTCCCTAACTGATATCAGTCTGTGATCAAATCGTATAAACAAATCTAATCCTTACAAATCAACCATTGAAAATCAGTTAGTTAGATGTTACAAAACGCTGTCTGAACACACAAACAAACAATTATGTCTGTCAGGTAGGGTAGAGAGAGATTAATCACACTAGCGTTCTGTATGTATAGGTTGGGTGGATGTCTTTTGATGGTAATGGCTCCTGCTAACCGCAGTAATCATGCTTTCCTTTATGTATTGATTACTTTGATAGCATGTAGGCTAATTTCCACTATATGCCCAGTGTCAATTAGGTGTCTGTCGATTGCGCTTCAGAACAATTTGCCTCCCTGAAAACGGAGACTTTTAGGGAGATGCTCGAAGAAACAAGTAGACAATCTACTCTCAGTCCTTCCTATGTACTTGCTACCACAAGTGCAGGTGAATTAGTAGATGCAGCTGAAGTTGACAGGAAGAGCAGAATGCTTATGCACTTTTGACTGGGTTAGCCAGCATACTGTGTTGTAAAGTGGAATGAATCTAGTGGTGAGAAATGTTCTTTTCAATACACCTTTAATTCTGTTTTCTATTTTTATGGACACTTCTCCGCCTTTGTACGCTAGAGAGATAAAAACTGATTTATTTTCAATTAATTCAGGTTCCGGTCTAAGTGGTTTTTCCTTCTCATATCTTGATATGAACTTTCGAAGGTGTCCATTTTCGATAGGGTTCTTTCTCTTCTTGTGCTATGTCTATAAACATATACAAAAATGATTGTCTAAAACTGTGATTGTACAGCCAAGTGATTGAATTCACAGAAAAGATACTTATTGTTGATCTCTTAGTTCTAATTTTCCTATCGGGATGTCTGCTTTTTGTGAAATCTTTATCTACTAACCGACTGTTATATTTAACCGAAGTATTCGACCTTTACGGACATGTCGGCACCTAATATGGTCTCCATGACAATATCTGTTAAGACGGAATGATAGTGGAATGTGAGCTTATCTAACTTCAGTAATATACGCTTCCAGAATACGATTCTATAGCCAAACGATCTCCCAGACTGAGAAATACACAGTGATCGAACTGAAAAAGAATGACAACCGGAACGACAACGACAACCTTCATTGGGCAAAATACGTGATATGTTATACTTACCAAACACTAAGAAGTTCAAGCCACAAATAACTAAACAAATCTGACTGGTTATACAACATCAAAATCCCTCAGAAAATTAAGCCACAAATGAACCAATCATAATCTGTCCGGTAAGGTTATCACGTCAGAACATGCATAAATCGAGATTTCACTGTCTAAAGATTAACACAGAATCCACCAAATTACATCATGTTAATCGACAGACATAGCTGAAGAGACAACAGTACTAGGGGTCGACATATCACACAGACCAAGAAAACCAATCCAATTGAAACAATCAATAGAGAGTATAAAATTCACTTCAAAAAACTAATTACTCTAATTTTTGAAAATTCTCTCTCTGTGACTCTGTGCTTGTGATCTACTAATTTATTTACAGCCGGCAAATTACTTAGTGATGATGAGGAAGATAATGTGAAGGAGAGTGACGCAGATGATGGCGATGGTGACAGGGAAGCTGACGACAATGATGGCAACGGAGATGGTAATAACTCAAACGACTGTGCCGACAATGATCAAAGTACTGACAATATTCAGACTGTCAATGAAAATGACAGTTTAGGATCAAGTGAGTTAATTTAGATTGAAGATAAATTCCCTATACACAAATGATTGTTATTCAACATGCACAAAATATGTACAGATTTTATGAATACTGATAGATAAACGGATAGATCACTTGACACTTGGTTATTGCCATATAACCAGCTGATGAATAAGGTAAATTAAAATATATGTAAAACTTGGGCATTGTGATAGTAAGCAATTCCATATTAGTTTGCTTATTAGATGTATCACACACTGAAGAAACAGTATTATTTACTGGATGACGTTCCGAACAAAATTTATTGTTCGTAATCATATCAGTTGATATGATTGATATGACAGAAAGTCAGGGTGTGGTGAGAGCTGGTTGTTAGCCAAAATGGGTAGACAGTAATTTACCACAATGTTTACGTCCCCAGTATTGCTCATGAGAAAAATAAGAACAAAGAATGACTCAACAATCAACCGCAGTAGACTTTGTGTAGGCGAATACAATTTACAGATAGAGAATCTGAACTTCAGGAAATGGCCACAAAGAGATGAAAGATTAACGTGCAGCGAGAAACCACCGATCAGAAGACTGAGTTTGTTCGCTTACAATAATCTATAATAATGTACATGAAAATCTATAAATATCTGTCGATTTCCTAAATAGATGATCTGTTGCCTTGTCCTTGTCTTCTGTCATTACATGGGCAGCAGTAATGACTGACTGGAACTGTTTCGTTTCCAATCAGGTCTTTGGTTGATTTAGTCAAATTTCATTGGCCGCTGCTTTTTCGGAGTGTTCGATATCTAGAGGTCTTTGGTGGTGTATTCGATAGCTGATAGATGGTAGAGAAAGACTGTTCAATGATAGATTTTGGCCTATAAGGACGAAATGATCCAATATATACAACTTTTAATAGTTCTAACGACACCGTTACTCAGCCATAGAAGCAGGTGTTCCCAAGAACGACCGTCAGTATTAACTGACCTCAGATGGGGGTGTTGAATTGATAGATGCAGTATGAGGTGGCTAGCCTAGGCAATTTATCTTTCGGAATCACAGTCGGTTGTGTGGGAAATATAAGTAGCAGTTTACAGTCTGTATACATCGTCTAAATCGATTTTTTCGACTTCTTGATTACTATGTCACTTGATATGTATTATTTTTTAATGGTGGTCGTGAATATAGAAGCATTTTTGTTAACGGATTCAGATGAAATTTCAGGATAGATGTTTTTTTAATAAACACTCATCGATAGTGTGAAATATTCCCATATTGTGAATTAAAAGTCAATCTGAACGAAGAATACTCTTTTCAACAATTTTAATAATTAGGCAGGTTCGTCTACGGGTTCGACAACATTTACCAGCTTGGTTTAGCACGGGTGAAATTAAGTGCATAAAAAGCTCGATCCTGCCACACTTGGTCGATACTGGACATCGTATCGATGTCAACATAGCTTTCAGGGTTATATACCGAATTCCGAAGTCATTATTCCGTACAGTTTGCTTACGCCTGCTACACATAGCTGAAGCTGTTGCAATAAGGTCAACTAAACGGGAACTTTGTATCCAAAAAGAACACGTCCAGACGCTGTTCCTACCGTGGCCAAACTCGGACTGATGATTCTTCTTCTCACCAAGAGCGCTCCTTCCCCTTGACTCTCTTGGCTTTCTTTTCTCTTTGCTTTTTATTACAGTTATTATCATTCGTCATATATTATGCCCTTCACGCAAACATTCCCTTAATACTATCGAATTTTCCTTTCATAATATCCGGACTTATTATTAGTGATATTATCTGTTTTCTCAATATATGCCTGCACCTGTTTCATTTCACATATTCGTTATTTCATTATGAACCTTTTATTGCAGTCTTAATATCTCCTGTTTAACACAGACAACTTTGTAATAGCCAGTGACCTGACGCCTTTTATAAGCTTGAAGGGCCTGGTCAGTTTTCCTACCCCACACTCTACAAATCTATTATGATTAATCACCACCATTGTCTCCCGTTTTACAATATTTTCTAGTCGATTTCAGCCAATTAGCACGTTTGTCACACAAATACGACTATTTATTTTGACACTCCATAACTGCTAATCTGTTATTCTACGTTAAAAATGTATTATATTTAATAATGGTAAGAACCTGAAGAGGAGAAATTATTGAAAAGAATATTCTTCGTTCAGATCGACTTTCATCTCATTGATATTACTTTTCTTTGAAGCAGCCGAGTTGTTTACCCCATTATCGCCAACACCTTTTGAGCAAAATATTATATCACCTGTAAAGAAAGTCAACCACACTGGATCAGTGTCTCCATCGATCTCATCATCATCATCATCATCTTCACTGTCCTCAGCATCTAAATCCCTTGAAAGCAAAGAACCATCGACATCAAACAATGACGCTTACAAACTGCTGAATAGTCCAATTGACTCATTTAATGTGAAAGTAAGTCATGAAACAGAATCGGCAAATCAATCAACCAATGCTCATAGAAGTCAACCTGAAGAAACTACCGACCATTTGGAGACTATCAGTAGTACAGAATCGATACCGCCATCATCACAATCATCATCATCATCATCAGATAATGATTTACAACAAGATATGATTGTCAAAAAACATCTCAGTGAAGATTCGGGTTAGTCTGATATTATTCCTTTTTTTGAATATTTACTTTATTCCTCTGCATCCCAAGTGGAACATATGGCTTCAAGCCTTGATCTCTGAAGTTACGATAGTGCTCGTTGTTTTGTTTTTTTATATTCCTATACCTTCCCAGTGGAACATACGACTCCAAGCTAAAAGCTTGAAGTTTCGGTAGCAGTGGTATTTATTTTTTACGAGATGAGGTTGCTAGCCTCATGCCCTACCCTCCCTCTTTGCCAGTTTTATTACTGGCCTAGTGAGGTAGATAGAGTAAGTCGGTTGGGGATTGAACCCCGGACCACAAGAGTGGTTGGCGAGCATGCTACCGCTGTGCCACCGACGCACAGTGCTCGTTGTAACGACCGAAATTGACTGATTGTGGTGTGAACTCAAGAAACTGATCTTCGCATCCTACTTACTGTATAGCTGACCGAAACCTCCTTGAGACACTCATGGTCACAAAACTCTCTAAAGACAACAAAAAGACTATTATTTGTAGTTAGGTCTACGTGGTTACTTCTGTTCAATAATTAATAACAACAAAAACTCAAGATTACCTCAACAGTAATGTCAGGAAACTATACTCGCTAGATAATTCTCTAGTACAAAACAAGTACTGTTGAATAAAATTAGTCACCGAAATTCAGTCGTAAGAAGCATCTTGGAATCAAGTAGAATGTTTGATGGAGAAGATTTGTAGCTCAGGTGGTTGATTTTGATGTGGTTTTGTTCTCTGAGCTGGATGGTTAGTTTGCGAAGCTTTCATCACCCTACTGGGTGACATCTTCAGAGCATACTTCAATCTGTTGAAGTGAGCTTTTAGATTTCTCCACGAGTTTATTAATCATCTCTGCTGGTGACCTTGGACGTGATTGGTTGTTTATGTGTGTTTTCACATCCTCTAGGCAGCTACTTGTATTGGAACTGATTGTTTCTTTGACTTGAACTTTGACCCTTAGTGTGTGAAGTTTCTTTCTTAACGGTTGATAAATTTTGTCTATCTCGATGTGTCTATTGATTGATGATTCACTGTAATACCAGGTGGCTTCTAAAAATTCTCTAGCATTCTGTTGTTTCCTCTGTCTAATATTTGAACGTTGTCGCAGTCGAATTGATGTCTGTGATTGTCTGTACGTAATAATATGAGTGAGTGGATGCCATGTCTTTTGACGTCTAGCTTATTATTATTAATGTTACCTTGGGTTCCTAGTGGAACATAGGGCTTCAACTGCACTCTCCACTTGCTTCTGTCTTGCTTCTGCTGTACTTTTCACCCGCATCCATGTTAGTCCATACTCCTTCAACTCCTCTTCACACGATCTCCTCCATGTCACCGTTGCACCGACGTCCCACTCACCGCTTCCTTTTCGGCCTGGTTCCACTCTAGCAATGGCCTGACGCGCGCGTGATGTCACCCAGCGGCCACCTCAGCGAGTGTCTAATCCATCTCCACTTTCTCCCTCATATTTGTTGGTTGGCGATTGGTTCTTGTTTTGTTTGTTCCCATAGTTTCTTGTTGGTGATTCTTTCCGGCTCGGCCATCTGATCTTCAGTATAGAGCGATAGTTGACAGTTATTGATAAAGGTCTGCAACAGGCTAGTGGTGGAAATATTCTTTGTGACCCGCCAAGCGCCAAGTTTCTGATCCGTAGAGAAGAACTGACTGACTTGACGTTTGTGTTGAAAATCAGACTGAATTTTGTTGTTGGTGCTTGCTGAGTGACGAAGATTTCCAGATTGGTATCAGGTTGATGAATGTGTTTCTCGCCTTCCCACCTATTCTCGCTCGATTTGACATCCTCGTCCGTTCCGACTGTCTGTAGTTGAGACAATGCTTCCTAGATAGGTAAATGAAGTAACCTCTTTCAAATCCCTCCCGTTGATGTTGATTGGCACTGGATGTTGCTGCTTTTGTTGTTGTTGGTTGGTTATTTTCATAACCCCCATCTTGTCTATGTCCACCAGGAGTCCTGTCTTTTCTGCTTCTTCGACCAGTTTGTCGGTTTTCGCTTATAAGTCTTCGATTGTGTGTGACATCAAGTATAAATCATCCACGCGCGAAATCCAGGTTTTCTAGATTCTTCACGTCGGTCATGGATATGAAGCCGAATAGGATGGGAATCCACTTTGGTCAATGTAGCGTTTTCGCAGTTGTTACAATTTATTTTGTAGATGATGTTGGTTTTATCTTCTTTCGCTGTTGAGTCTTTTCGTTGACATAGAATTGAGTGAGGTGAATTTGTTGGTTTGTGTACGATGTCAATTCCTAAAGGTTTGGTAAGTCTTGTAGTGATTTCTCAGATGTCTTTAATAAATAGTAGGGCAATTTTCTTGTGGTCTCCTTGCCTGCTTTTGATTTCATAGTTTGGCTTGGAGGTATATGTCTTTTGATGGAATTCCGTGGATATCCATTCTTTTTGAAACCCAAGTAACTGCCTGAATAGGGCCAGTCACTAATGATCAAGGTCCTAATGGGAAGCCGTGACGAGTAGGGTGCGTCAGGCTGAATACGAGGCCAGTAACTCATCGAAGATGACATTGTGAAATGGTCGAGCTATGTCATGAATTGACAGAAGTTAGAATTCATGGACCGGTCATCGGATCCGTTTCCAGTGGCTTAATGTTCTATGAGCTGGTTCGCCTTGTAACCAGAAGGTCCTGGGTTCGAACCCTGCGAGCGGGTGCGTGCTTGTGTAGAGTCCCAAAATAGGCTGACGAAACAGTTGGCTGACCTGTACTCCCTGGCAGGTTTTCCAATGGTTCTCTAAATGATGTTAGCTCATAACAAAATCCTTCAACCAACTGAAAAAGTTAACTGAAACATCCAAATAAGTATCAACATTTTGATTAGATCGTCCACGAGGGATTTTCTAAAAATTTATTCATTACGGTAGTCTTATTCTTTTTTAAGGGGTGCTGGACGCTTAACCTTCACACTTTAAATGGCTCATCACCTGTTAGCTACGGTTAGGAGTGTATTGGCCGGTGATCCAACGGTGGACGACATATTCCTTATTGATTGCTTTATACTGAATCTAAATACTTGATCTTTTTCGACATGTATGCATGTAATATGGATGCTTCAATGATCTCTGAAGACTAACATAACATTGTTTCGGGTGATAATGAACAGCATTGGGATCGGGGATGCACTACTTGGGACTCGCCAGTTGGATAAGTCTGCATTCCAAGTGAGTGTGATGGAGTCCCCACCGAGACTCTAGCCCAGTACCCATAGTTGTAAATTTCGGAGTAAAAGTTATATATTACAATTGTAAATGAAGCACTCTGACGTCCAACCTTCGCTTTTTCTCTAGACTTGTTTTAGGCTAGTAAAATAGGCGAGGCCTTCAGCAGTGCATCTGCCGCGAATCCAATCTCCACCTTCAGGGCGACTGACGAGTATTCATCCTTATAGATAAATGAGTTATTCGTAGAAAGCTTGAATCACAGTTAAATGGTTTACATAATAAGGCTAATGTACTACTCTGTGAGTAGTCTAAATCTATAATTTATTTTTTCTCTTCTCAGTTAATGGAGTAAATATTGAAGACAGTGATGACAGTGTCGATGGAGACGGAGAAGAAGATGACGATGGTGGTGACGATAATGATGAAGGCGATTATGTCGACAATAATTTAAACAATAAAAGCATTCAGGTTCCTAAGGAGCATGTTACTATAGCATCTTGTGAGTTGACTCATTTGCATTCTCTATGTTTCAGCCTCATTCAAACATCTCATACATCCACAACTGATACAAATTTTATGACCATATCTATAGATTTCTTCAATTAGGTAGAATAAAAAATCTTACCACATCCGTTCTCACAAGAATCACTGACGTCTCAAGGGGCAGCAACATCATTCACAGGGAGATGCAGGTATATCTAGATGATGGTTCCCAAAGTAGGACGAAATCTACATGCTGAATTCTAAAAATTATCAAAAAAAGGTTTCAGAGAAGAAAATTTCCTTTTCAACAAAGTCATCAACTAGGCTGTACATCTATGTGTATTTATATTACATATGTGAGAAAGTTCCAGAAAGTTCCATTACCTAAATGAACTGTTACTACGATGCACCGTCAACGTCTACTTTAGTTTTAACAAAGAAATGTACAGGCAAGTAGATGGAGTAGCAATGGATTTTCCTTTAGGACCCTTCCTGGAAGACTCCTTTTATGGCTAGACCAGAAAACAATTCCTTATCATCACCTCTTGACGAACCCCATCTCAGCAAACATCGATGATACTTTCATTATTATTATTATTTCTGATAAGAATTATTGCCTAAAACACCTACTTCTAATCTTCGATAACGCCAACCTAAACATCAACTTCACTCTGAAAGTTGAGCTGAACTCAATGTTTCATTTCCTCGATGTTCAACTATGAAGGAATGCAGACAATTCGCTAAGAAGATCCATCTACAAAAATCCCACATGGGACAGAGAGAGTTCATCAACTTTCGAAGTTGTGTGCTTCTGAGCAGAAAGGAAAACCTAATATACTCTCTTTCTTCGAGAATCCGGAAGATTTCCACTGAAGAGACAATCGACGAATAATCACAAAATCTCCGAGTAACCTCGGCAGAAAATGGATTTTTCACTCAGATTCATAGACAAGACGAGGAAAACACCTGAAAAGGCCCCCTCCAAAAAAAGATGCTGATATTGAACTTCGAATTTAAAAGTGATACCGAAGCAGAAATTCTCCACAGGCAGCAAGCCTACGAACAATATTTTCCCGCCAGAAACTACTCACTTAACACTTGAAATACAAGCTATTGCATTAGGCCATATCGACATGCAAAAAGCAAGTTCACTTGCTCGTGTGGACCTGATTACATTGGCTGTACCATTTATCCGCTTGTAAAACGCACGCGGGAACACTATTTAGCATGGTTGGCAAAGGGAGAACGCAAAGGAGTATACAAGTCAATGACAGAACATGCCCTATTTGAAAAGTCCTTCAAATCCATATACAAGAACCTATCCAACATACCGAAGGGAGTGGAATCAAGATATCTAGGAATAGCTGAATCACTGGATATCCAAAAACTCAAGCCTTCTCTATGTGTCCAAAAGAAGTACGTTCAACTGTTGTTCCTACCGTGGTCACCAATAATGATTATTCTATTAACTTTCTTGTCCAACCTTCCCGCTTATTTGTTTTATATTTACCTTTTTAAATCCCTACCTGCATTATTAGATTTGATTACTGCTCTTATCTTTATATGCCCTAACCTCCTACCCATTTTTTTAATACTACGTCCTTAAACCGTAATTATACAAACTAAAGAGATCCTAGTGATTATAATCTTATTGTGTCCTTTCTAATCGATCTTCCTGATTATTACACACTGTAATTTTTAATTTGATCTTTGGCCTGAAATATTTCTAGAATAGTGCCACTACCTGTCTATCTTCTATTTATTACACTTAGTAATTTTAGTAATCTGACCTCTTACCGTAAATTATTGTGAAACTTTCTCACACGTGTATTATTGTAACAACAGAAGACAAGGGCCAGGCAACAGATAGTTTTATTACGGAAATCAACACGTATTTATATAAATTTCACATAGATTATTATAGCCTAGTCAAGTAAACAAACGCAGTCTTCTGATTGGTTGTTTTCCAGTTCCTCGGATAGTGGAGCCATCTATCTGCGAATCATATTTATCCACATTTAAGTTTGCTGTGATTGGTTGTTGAAACAGCCTTGTTCATATTTTCTCACGGCCCATATTAGTGACCTAGACAATGACGTAGATTAATGTCAACCAATTGGCTAGCCCAAGTGGTCTAGTGGATAACGCTTTGGCGTTTGAAACTATGGGCACTGGGTTCGAGCCTCGGTGGGAACATCATCACTCACTGAGAAATGCAGGTACATCCAGATGACGAGTCCCAAATAGGACGAAATGCGCATCCTGGATTCCACTGCTAGCCACCATCCACCAATTGTATCAATTGGCTAGCAGCCTGCTCTCACCACACTCGTCCCCCCGTCAAATAGCTTCGTCCGCAGACGTTCCGACCTTCTGGGTGCTACATCCTCTAGTTGAGGATTGTTACTGACCGGCCTGTCCCACTGTACCCATCTTTGGAGCTGACTGGCGTTAACTCGTTTCTATTTATCACCTCTTCAGATAGTGTATACTTGACCCCGTCTTTTTGTGATTATGTACGGTTCTTCCCACTTTGGAAGGAGTTTCCGTGAACCTGGTCCGCATCCAACTGTACATCTTTTGTCTCTACACTTCACTTGGTCCCCGACTGCGAAGGTAGTGCACTGAGTCTTTCTTTATGGTCACGTCGAGATAAGGTTACGCAGACAGTCGCAATGGCGAACAATGAGAGGCGCGTGAACGTCAGCGAGCTCCAGAAATGGATACAGCGAGTCAAGCCAACGATGACGCCCTCACCATGCAGATCAAGGCGACTTCAGTCGCAAGTCTTTGACGGGGGGACGAGTGTGGTGAGAGCAGGCTGCACTTGACAATTCACCATTAAAATGTAACCTAATAAATAGCATATTCACAGGGCAATACACACACTTCCTTAGTTACGTGCTCATGAAATATAAAATAATAGTTTATAAATATTTTGAATCTCTCACTCTTCTGAACAGTGTTCTAGCTTCCAAGAGCTTGTTATCGTTAATTTTTAATCTCGGTAGTGGTTTCTGTGCGATGCTCATCAGTTATTGCTTGTCTTCGTTAGCTTCAAGCTAAAGCTTAAAAGTTGCGGTAGTAGTAGTTGTTTTACTTTGACCGAGTGAGGCAGCTAGTTCTACACACAACCTTTCCTATTCACATGGATTACTATTGGCTTAGTGAGGTAAAGAAGTGCGTCGGTGGCCGGAGATTGAACCTAGGAGCAAATGTATGGTTGTTGAACGTTCTACCACCTAACCAACAACACACAGCCGTCTGTAGATTACATAATTTATTATATTGCTTGACCTCAATAAGCACTTCGCTAACGTTTTACGACACTATAAAAGTGAAGTCACAAAAAAGTATTCTCTGCTGACCGCCTATGAGTTTCTGATTCATAGATTGATTTCAGAAGAATTCAATTAGCTTCAAAGTGGATTTTTTCACTAACAGACACCATTCAGAGAATCACTGAATACTAGAGAACACACTAGATCGTCTGTTTTGTCCGTACTTTCGGGCCTCTTCAGTACTTCATTCCCACGAAATCACCTGACATTTAACCCAGGACATTCATGTTACGAAATATACAAATCAATCAACTACCTATCAGTCTTCCATGATTTTTCTGAAAGTATCATTGAGGTAATGAGTTATGCGCTGCTTACCAGCTAGTTCTTGTACTTGAAGTGATATATCTGGTGGCCAAGTAATCCAAGAGGTGATGGCTTAAATTTTAGGTATTCAAGTATTGGTTTGTAAGGATTTGATTGATTGGTTACAGGATTTCATCACCATCGCCATCATTAAATCCCTAAAATCAATACTTGAATTTCAGTGAGATGCTCAATAGCCACTGGCTACTGCCAGTCGCGCTATGTCGTGAATTGACAGAAGTTGGAATTCATGGGCTGGCCATTGGATTTGGTCCCAGTGACTTAATGGTTAAGGAGCTAGCTCGCCTTGTAACCAGAAGATCCTCGATCCAGTACCTGCAGTGGGGTGGGTGCGTACTGACGAAAAGTTCCAATTAAGGCGGGTGAAACATCTATCCAGTATTCTCAGTTTGTTTTCCAATGGTCCTCTAACCTATGTCAGTTCATTATCAAATTTTAGAGTTGTTAGGAAGAACATGCTTCTTTGTTAGCTGTGAAGTCACGACTGATGCATGTACTTATATGACAACCTGATTGGACAGTTTCTGATCCGTTTACTTTTGGCTCCAGTTCCCAAAGTCGTGCAGCCAATCAGATTTGTTTATTGATTTATGCCTGAAATTCCTGAGGTTTTGTAAATTAATTATACTACTTATTTGGTCTGGCAAACGTCGTTATTGTCGCGCATAAATCTGGCTTTTGTGTCTATCTTAGTATGTGTGTGTGTGCATGGGTGAGGAGTGGGGAATATTCTCAGTCGATCACTCAGTTACAGTGTCGAGTCTGGAAATGCACTTTAGTCGAGTTAATCAATGGATCCTAACCCTGTGATTAAACAGTCAATGGGTTAGCCAAGTCTTGAAGCTTTTGAAGGTCCTCAAGTATTCAAGTGCTCCTTGGTTCTGGAAGAAATCTATCGTGATATCAATTTCCCCATAAATCTAAAACCTGAATAAAAGATTTCTAATCAGGAATACATAAGATAACAAACAGATCTTATTTTAACTGATTAAAAATGCCCATTAAAATTTTCAAAAGAATGGATACTGAACAAAGAATACTCTATTCGATAACCTCTTCATCATGGGGCTCTACAGTTATATATTCATTATACTGAATGAATGAATGAATTAGTGTTATGAACAACATTAATGCTGTTTAAATAACATCGAATCAGAAATATCAACAGCTTACAGCTGAGTTAACTCTAACTCAGCCACAGAGTTGGAGCTATATGCTCAGAAGAAGTAATCGAAGATGAATTAAGCGTTGTATATGATACTTTGATTGAAAATATCTATCCTGAAAAATTTATCAGGAAACACATGACAAAGAAAGCGGCGGAAAAGGACTACTCACTATCTGTAAGCAAGAAGCCACTTTATATACGACTGCAATTCACCGGCAATATATCAAGTGAGATAATTAAGAGGAAATAAAGAAAATCAGTTCAAAGAACATTTAATGCTGGCGAACTACACGTATTATTCTCTACACGACCGATGGTGCTACTCGATTGAAAGATGAAGTACCTAGACCAGCCACCTCAAATTGTATCTGCCAATTCAATCACGCTTGTGGTGGGGCGAGTTATATCGGCCGTTACTCTAGGAACTTGATTTTTCGTGCTCGTTCGGGAACATCTCCCACTATGGCTAAGTAAAGGTGTAGTTAAAACCATTAACAGCTCGATATTGGATCATCTCGTGCAAATCTTCCACAAAGCCATTGTGGAAGGATCCTTCTCGATCATCTACCGGGTGCCTAATAGATTATCAAAATCATCGAAGCACCGCATGCTCCAAACAGCAGAGGCTATTGCAATTTGCCTCAAAAACAACCAGTGCCCTGTGTTCAAAAGAAGAAAGTCCAGCCCCCACTACTGCCCTGGCCTTCACTGGAAACTATAAATTCATGAATTTGTAACATTATCCTTTCTAATTTTTCTGATAATCAGTGTGTATTGTTAGGTTGATGCCACTGAACTGTAATCCATTGATATTATTAATGATTCAATATTATTTAAACAGCATTAGTGTCGTTCATAACACTAATTCATTCATTCATTCACTGTAATGTGTATATAACTGTAGAGCCTGATGATGAAGGGGTTATCGAATAGAGTATTCTTTGTTCAGTATCCATTCTTTTGAAGATCTTATTTTGTAGGCTAGATGTGAAGTTACGAATAGCGACACTTTACTGGCTTGAGGGGGCTGAATTTTCTCCCAAAGCCTATGTTTCACTTTATAAGAACTGGCATTTTTAAAAAGAAAAATAGCTGGTCGCATAAGATTTCATTTATTCAAATAGTTCATTGTTTCAGTGAATTACTTTTCAATTTTTCTAACTGAATTTAGCACAGACACTCACCGAGAAGCAAATGACAACCAATGATAACAGGGATTGTCAGCATACTTCATCGGAAGTCTCATCATCGCCTTCAATATCTTCATCACATTCTGTTCATTCTGTTTCAACGATGACAGTGGATCAGTCAGGGATTCAGTCACGCGGAAATCTCAGCTCACCTAACAAACAATCAATTTAGCGAAGGCTGAAGTCATTTCAAATCCTTAAGAAAGAATATTTATAAATAGTGTATACGACAATGAATGTAGTGACTGTCCCAGATTTTATAAGGTACGTTTATTGCGCGTTAATCTGTACTGTACAGTTTTTTGCATTATATCTGTACAACTGAGTCGTATGTTTGCTTGTGGAAGACGTGTCCACGTCATCCTAAGAATTATCATCAGTACAACTTTATATCAAAGAGAAATAGCGACGGTTTGCTTAGTGTTTTCTTATTTGTAAGATTCTACTCTAGCTGACTGCAGTCTGACTAATTATTTCAAAGGTATCGTTATGAATATGATATGTACCTTTGACAGATGACAACCATCCGGTAAGGGTGAATTTTTATTTGTACCTGGACGTGAGCTAGTCTCCACCTGGAAGAGTATAAAGATCTCCCCATTTTTACGTGAAACCCAATCGATTAAATGAAGGTAAAAGGAAAAGTTCAAAGTAGTTCAATTAAAGAGATTTTTTACTAATGAATGCTTGAACGAATGAGATCTAAATGCACTTCAAACCAAACAAAAGCATTCAATCAATAACTTGCCTGTAGTTATGTCAGATAAAACTTCAGAATATGGTCGACCAATCAGCTTCGAAATACTCCTACACATCTGCTTGACAGCCAATCAGGTCGAAGTAAAACATTGTTTTACTACATAAATATCAATGTCTCCCCCTAACTTCGTTTAATCTTCCAATCAGGTTGCAGCAATAACTAATATGTCTATTATGAGGCAGAATCGTTCATCAAGTCAGTTTCATACGTGAGATCTATTCCTCTAATTACTAATAAACTGCTTCAATGCTGTGCGGTGCCTCAAATCTTTATCAATTTAGTTTCAAAGCTATATGAAAATACCACAAGTCAAGTGATCCACATTGGGAAACTCAGCAACTCCTTTCAAGTGAAGACAGGAGTAGGCCGAATATCACCGATGCTATTCCTAATTGTGGTTGATTGGATTATGCGAGAGACCGTGAATTCGGAGCGAGGAAACAGGAATACGTTGGATCGATGAGAGGACTCCAGAAGATATGGATTTCACGGACGGTTTATGTCCAATATCACATAAACTCGAAGACACATAGGTAAAAACCAACAATTTAGAAGAAGTGGTGGCAAAGATAGGACTTTAAGTGAACATAAAGAAGACGGAGGCAATGAAGACAACAAATACACAAGAGTAGACATCAATCACCATCAACAGCGTCATTTCAACTACAGACACTCTGCATTAATGAAGATGTCAACAGTAGAATTGGAAAGACAAAACAGATCTTCATCACTCTGAAACAAGTGTGGAAATCTTCTAAACTAACTATAAACAAAGAGAATTTGGATTTTCAACTCTAATGTTAAGTTATTCAGTCCTTCTATGTTGTTCAGAGGATTGGCGCGTCTGTCATGAAAAGCATTTCCAACAGGCTACTGCAGATCTTCATCAACAGCTGCCTTCTTCGGCTGAATAATGAAAGTCAGGTAAAAGACGAGAAAGAAATGGCATCGAGGAACTTTGGGAAAGAACCAATTAAGAAACTGTTGTCCAGAAAATATTTCGAAAACAATGGAGATGGATCGAACACGCTGAGTAGAACGCTGGATGATATCACACGCCAGGTCCCTGAGAAGAAGCTGAATAGAAAGCGATAACCTGATCGCGCGTTCGAGGTTGACATATAGGAGATTGTGTGAGGAGAAGATTATGGTTCAATATATATAACATGAAGTGACAGAATTTGGGATTCATAGACTATTGGATCGGATCCCCAATGGTTGAATGGTTTACTAGCTCACCGCGTAACCGGAAAGAAGATCACTCGAATGTCATTCCCGTGCTGAGACAGATAGAGTTCAAGGTATGAAGAACTATGCTCTTTGGTAATCGACAGGAGCTACACAGACGACAAGCTGTTGACGTCAATGAAAACCGAAGTAATCCTCCAACATTCTGGTTAACTGACTGTAACCTTTCGCATGTTTCAGCCTTTAATTTATTCAAAGTAGCCCTTGACTTTGTCAATGCTGACTTTTCCATGAAGTTAAGTATTATTGGTGCTCCATAGTTTTTTCTCTCATAATCTGTAGAACTCATAGTAACAGAGGTATTGCCGATATCTGCTCTTGTAATGACAATAGATCTACCTTCCTTCAGTTTTTTTTAATACCGACTGTTTACTTTTGGGTGTCGGTTTGCAGGAATTTGATTGGTTTCAGGATTTCATTATGAAATGACATCAGTTAGAGTACCATTGAAAAACCAGCTGGCAGAGTGTGTGTGTGTCGCCTAAAACTTAAGCCTCCAAAACCTTCCATCATTATATTACACATAATTCCTCTTGTTCCCTTTGTTTTGATCGATTAATGTATGACTTCTTATGATGTTTTCTCCCCTCGTTGTGAGTATTTAAAATGTCTACGGTCTGCTGATTTAAAAGTCTTTGCTTAACTTAAGAGACGGTAATGTTATGAGAGGCAACATACCACAATACATGAGATAACTGTCCTTGGGTTATGTCCTTTGGTTTTAAAATGTATTTCTGAAGTTTGTATAATTGGCTTTTAACCAAAAATTGTGGTATTTGTGAATGAGATAATGCAGAAATGTCATAATGGATTGGTTTGGGCTTCAGGACAGGCAGAGTTACGTCAAAAAGGATCTAATATTATTATTATTATTCCCTTGGGTTCTGAGTGAAGCGTAGGGCTTTAGCAGCAGCACATTTTCACTTTCTTTTATTCTCAGCTGCCCTCTTCAGCCGGGTCCACGATTGATCATGATATCTCACCTCCTTAATGTCATTTTCGCAACGAAGACACACTATTCGCTTCTAATTGAGATTCCACTTGAGACATGACCTGTATTGTGCCCTATATCATTTGATGGCCTTCTCCTCAGGGTGTGCCCAATCCATCTCTATTTTCTCCTACATATTTGTTGAGTAGTCGGCTCTTGGTCGGCTTGTTGCCAGAGTCTCTTGTTGCTAATTCTTTCTGGCCTGTCAGTCAGCCATTTGATCTTCAGTGTGGAGCTGGCGAAGTGAGCAGCTGTTGATAGTAGTCTGTAACTTGTTGGAAATCCATTTCGGGAAATGTAGTGCAAGTTTCTGACGCGTATAGAAGAACTGACCGACTGATTTCACATTGGTGTTGAAATCCGAATCTTGTTGTTTGTGCTAATTGAGTGCAGTGCAGAAGATTCCCAAATTGGTTTCAGGTTGATGAAGGCGTATCTTGCCTTCTCGATTAGGTATGGTCGGCTGACTCTGACGTCTTCATCCATACAGCCACTTGTGGTTGAAATCGTGCTTCCTCGATGAGTGAAGGCAGGGGAGTAACCACTGTCAAATCTCCCCCGTTGATGGTAACTGGTGCTGGTTGTTGTTGCTGTTTACTATTTGGTCGGTTGTTTGGTCATCTTTATCACCTCCGTCTCCACCTTCTCTATGTTCATGCTACTTGCCTAGTCTCCTCAGACAGTTTGTTGTTTTTTTTGTTTGCCTACAAGTCTTCAAGTTTGTGTGTGATGTAAAACATTAAAACATCTACACAGGAAATCCACATCTTCTACAGTCTTCTTATCGGTCTATCCAGAGCATTCCTGTCTTCTCACTTCCAGCAAACAGTCTGACGCATAATCTAGTCTGCCACAAGTAACAACATCACCAGTGGTAATAGGCAGCCAGCTTGTCTTACTCTTGAAGTCACTTCGAACGCCTCACTGAGTTTTCCTTTGTGAATCACCTGGCACATGGCTCTGTCATAAAGTCAGGTGTCAAGGAACTTAACCCTAAGTTCCTATTGCTACGAAAACGCTCAGAACCGATAATTACTGTGTACCTTTCTCGACTTTAACTTCAAAACACCACTACTCGATTGAAAGTTATATTGTTTGGTAGTTAAAGTCTGAATAAGTACAAGTCTGTAAACAAATGTTTTATACAAAATATAATGTACTTTTATTCGTATTCTTTCGTCTTCTTCGAACTTGTATACGATTGAACCATTCGCACCTTCGAGTTGCCCACCAATGGCTACCAGTTCCAATAAACAAACGTTCAATGTTCACGTCCATCGACACCAGATGTTGAATGAAATTGATAAAGATTTGGAAACTACGCGCCTTAGTGTTGATGCAGTTTCTAAACTACTTCTTGATCAACGCTGTCTGTTGAAGGCCTTTTCTTAGCTGATGAAATAGTGACAAAGGATCTACTATCACATTTTTTTGTGTGCAGATCCTCGATTAAGAGGAAATATCATGCAATAAACTCTGCTGAAGACTCTGCACATTATATAAACTCTGGAAGGTTGACAATCGTATTTTTCTTAAAAATAGAATTAAGTCTTTTTTTATATAAGTAACTTACATATAAGTGTTTCTCTTTCACCGACCTCAAACAGAGAGAAGGGAAGTGGTTAATCACGCTTAAAATTCTCTTAGACAAGTGGTCATATCTAATTCCGTACTATATGATAAGATTAATATTGCAATCACATCGAATATGTTATGTTTGACCTCACTAAGGGTGTTTTTATCACCTGTTTCATTTTACACAAGTTGGAATATCTGCTGTGGCGTTTTCATGAAAACACCTCGTGACTACTTTTTTCTAAGAAAAAACACGAAAATAAGGGAGCAAAGAATATCCTTCTCGATAAATTCCTCCTCTTATCACTCTACAATTATATATGCATGTTTATATACGTAGAATATTCTAGATTACTAGTTAATAACAATATTAGTGTGTTTTTTAAATAATATCGATTTGTAAAGTAAGATCAATGGGATCACAGTCCATTAAAGATGCTTAAATTATAATAATAATAATAAAAACATATTAGCAAATAGAATATCAAATAAAATTAACGAAATTTCTACAAAGGACAGTATCTAAACCAACTTCTCCTTTTGGATATATAAGTTAGGTTTCTCAATGTGGATCTCAACAGCCTCAGACAAATGTAGT